GTGTGGACAGTAGCTGGCTGTAGCAACAAATTTTCACTTTCTTTTTTTTGAATCAAGCAACTTTGACTGAACAACGCACGCGTAATAGTCAGAGAAACAGTAGCCCTTCAGAGTAGTACTCCGTCCTAAAAAATAATGCAATTCTCGACTTTCTAAGGAGTCAAACAATTTTAACTTTGATCAAAATTATACAAAAAATACTAACATTTTTAATACAAAATAAGTATCAATAGATTAGTGACCGAATATATTTTTGGAATAAAACTTATTTTTGAATCAAAATTAGAGTGATTAGTATTAACATTTATATCTTAGTATTAACATTTATGTCTGAAATAAGTTTTATTACAAAAATATATTCCATCACTAATCTATTGATATTTATTTTGTATTAAAAATGTTAGTATTTTTTGTATAATTTTGATCAAAGTTGAAATTGTTTGACTTCTCAGGAAGTCGAGAATTACATTATTTTTTAGGACGGAGTACTACTCTGAAGGACTACTGTTTCTCTTACTATTACGGGTGCGTTGTTGAGCCAAAGTTGCTTGTTTCAAAAAAAAAGTGAAAATTTACTGCTACAGTCAGCTACTGTCCACACTATAGCTTGAAATTGCCGTGAACCGCATGGGGATGTGAGCCCAGATAATACATGGCGTTTCTCCTTGGCTTGGGCATTCATTCACGAGCTAGTACTTGTACAGTCTACCAGGCTAGTACTACTCCCTCTAGTCTAACAGGGCATGGCTCTACTACAGACATAATAGTACTCTGGAGACATGCACGTTAGGCCCAGCCATGTCAGGCAGGTTGGTGCCAGAGAAAGCAGCGCCAAGGTCAACGTCAGAAAATATGGCGCCGAGCTCATGCCGCGTCCGCGCCATGCAAGCAGCCATATCAACGACACGCAGAAAATGACCTTAGACCTCGGCGCCAAAGACGTGTAAGCTCGGCGCCAATTGTCACGGCAGGTCTGGGTCTATTTTTTGAAAAGATACTGTTAGAGACGTATTTATTAAAATCTTTTAGAAAAAGAGCTGAAAAACAAAAAATTCAGAAACGATGTTCCCCGTTCCCAGACTGCTAAGTGACACAAGCAAGCCTAGCTACTTGCATCGACTGTTATGTTTCACTTGCCTTGATCCACCTAATCTTAGTGAAAGAAATGACCACATTCACCGAGATTCCCTGAAATTACGAGATTAATTGAAAATTGAAAATAAAAAAATACACTTTGATTCTATAATAATCTAACAGTTTAGATTGAACAAAAAAGTTGGTGCTCATAAAAGCCACCACGTTTAATAAAGGATCTAGAAATTACGAGATTAATCGATAAAAATACATAGTTCAACTTTATGATGATCTAACGGCTTAGATTAAACTAAATAGGCTGTGCCAAATACAGTTACGATATATTAATCTGAAGAAAGAAAAGAACTTATATCATTGGATTTTATGATTATCTTATGGTTTAGATGAAACCAAAGAATCCATGCCTAATACATTGTAGAGATTATTATTGATCAAAAATATTAAAGAAGAACTTGCTTCATTTGATTTTACGATGATCCAACGGCTTAGATTAAAGCATGAAGTCCAATCCTAATACGGCATGAGATTAATTGTGATCTAACAGTTTAGATTAACCTACACCACTAGAATTTATTATGATCTAACAGTTTAAATTAACCTACACCACTAGAATTTTTTGTGATCTAATAGTTTAAATTAAATCAAGGAGCCCATGAAAGAAATTTATTTGCAAAAAGATTATCGTACGAAAAACTAATTTGTTATAATGAGAAAAGACTAAGTATCTATGCTATTTGAACGGGCCATTTTACTAGTTTATTACTATCATTCATGACACGAATCATGCAAATTGTGCTACAGTGGTAAACTGGAGCAAATGAAAACTCCAACAAACAGGGCTAGCTAACTAAGCTGGTTTCTTGTAAGTGCCGGTGCCATTCTACAGGAAACATGCTGACCACCGCACACGCGACCTGGAGGAGAGGGTGGGGGACGGCGGGAGGATGGGCGAGGCGCCCACGCTAACTGGTGGCGGCGACGGCGGGGGCGTTTCACGGTGTAGGGTTATGGAAAAACCGAGGAGGCGAGGGCGCCTGTGGGAGAGGAGTCACGCGTGGGGGTTCTTAGCCACGGGACGGGACGAGTGAGGTATGATCAAAGAACCTGTCCATTGGATTTCAGTGGGCAAGAGAAATGAGAGGTTAGAATGGAATTTCCGTCCATTCTTTTCTAATATTTTTTTACTCGGTAAAGTTGTCTTGATGTATGTAGAAAAGGTAATGACTGCGAGGTACATTTGATGGGTAGCTGTAGTTATAAGTTTACAACTAGTGCATTTTTAGAGATTTACCGCCTCTAGCATGACGTCACATCAGTAAAAGCATCATAAAAACCGTTCATGGTGCAAAGTGACCGGTTTTAGATGTTGAAAAGGTTAAAAATGGTCTTGTAGATTAAGAGAGAAAAAAAATCAAGCGATAGTTAAGAGAGATTTTGAGATAAATTAGACTTTTCCCAACTACAGTGTCTTCTCTTTAGGCCTAGTGGACCTGTACGACAAAACTAGATGGTCTGGCTGGTGGGCTCACAGGCCTGCACGGCAATGCCAAGCTAGAAGGCAGACTCTGCCTCTTAGGAAGATTCTCAAATCCATCCTGCGTTTTGCAAATTTGCCACTCTCCAGCCACCACCAGGGGGCATGCGCGTGCCCAAACCCCAAAGAAGGCCTCTCCCTCTCCGTCTCTAGGAGTCCAGGGGCATTCGCAGGTCCGTCCGCCTAGACCGAGAGCCGGTGACGGCGAAATGGCGGACCACTTCGTCTTCCAGGTGCTCGCCTTCAGGATGTCGAGATCTACAAGCCACCTCGGCGCTCAAGGGTCTGCTTCGTCTGGGGCCACTGCTCCGGCCATCACCTGTGCTTCGATACGTAACTAGTTACAGTAGCGACGCGCGCTGGTTCATGCGCTGGCATGGTTCATTGAGGAAGAAGAGTAGTTGAAGAAGATGAAATGGTGCACTGGTTACAGTAGCGACGCACACACGTCAAGGATATCTTGTTATTTTTCTGCAAGCCATGTTTCCTTGCTGAAATTTCTAGTTTTGTCGTCTTGTATAACGGGAACAACCCAAGTTTTCATCTTTTATCCTGCCCTTGCCAGGAGGATGGCATCAGAACCCTCAGCAATGTCTTCCATGGAGCTATAATCCATCTTGGCACGACGCTTCCCACCAATTGCCGTGGGCTTCATGACCGTGTAAGCAGCTACCTTTTCTTATCATCTCAAATCAATTCTTCGTTACTGAAGCCTCTTTTGACATGTAATTTGATGAAGTCTGTGAGAAAAAGGGACATCATTGAAGTTCTTGTCATGCCTCTCTCCGGCGGGTGGTGGCATTGGAACCCTCAGCGATCTTCTCCAAGGTGCTGTTGTTCATCTTTGCATGGTGGTTCCTAGCAACCGTGAGATCCTCAGTAGCTATGTAGGTTGCCGCTCAAATTTCTGTGGACTTATGTATGCTTTAGTATGATAGTGTTGAATGTTGAGTGTTGACACCACGTGCAAGGGTTGTGACCACAGAGGGGTGGATAAATTGTTGTCAGAAAGGCAAGCTTCAACCTGTTTTTAACTCTCGGTTTGAGCTTATATCCCAAATTACTATTATCTTTGCAATTTGTATGAAGAATTGCATGCTTGCGACAAGATTATGTCAGTGTTGTTCCCTCTATATATTATTGGGAATGAAACATCTGTTGCAAGTGCACATTATCTAACTCCTGATCTGTCCCAACTGCCGAGTATAGGGTGCAACTGTTTACTCCTGATATTGTTAACTATGATTTCTTTCTGAGATTCATCTTGTCCACTCAAATTTTGCTGAAATTTCTGTTTTTTTGTTCCTTAACGGAAACAACTCATGTTTTTTTTATTATGAAGGAGAGATTCCTTGTGCTTATAAGAAAGCAATAGAGTTATCACAAATACTAGGATCGAACAACCCAAGTTCTCATCATTTGTCTTGCCCTTGCATGGAAGATGGCATCAAAACCCTCAGCAATGTCCAGCAGTAGCCGTGGGCTTCATGGCCGTGTAAGCAGCTGCCTTTTCGTATCCTCTCAATCAATTCTTCATTACTAAAACCTCCTTGCCATGTAAGTTCATGAAGTATGTGAGAAAAAGGGACATCACTGAAAGTTCTTGTCATGCCTCTCTCAGGCAGGTGGTGGCATTGGAACCCTCAGCAATTTTTTCCATGGTGCTGTTGTCGTCCAGGCATGGTGGTTCCCAGCAACCATAGTGGCTGTGTAAGTTGCTGCTCAAATTTCTGTGAACCTATGTCTGATTTAGTATGATAGTGTTGACAGCACGTGCAAGGGTTGTGACATAGAGGAGTGGGTAAATTGTTGTCAGAAAGGTAAGCTTCAACTTGTTTCTAACTCTCGGTTTGAGCTTATATCTCAAACTTCAACTTGTTTATAACTCTCGGTTTGTTGCTTCACTTTCTTCAATCTTTAATCACATTTAGCACGATTTCGGTTGTTAGTGTGGCAAGATTACATCAGTGCTCTTTAATCTATACTAGTAGACATGCACGTGCGACACACACGTGTCTATTAATTAAAAAATAAAATACGTGGAAAATTTTGGGAAATAATAGTGCTCATTTGAGAGAATTCATGTAATAGAATGACAATAATTCAAATTCAAATAGAAATAAAATGTGTACTTGCAACAAGAGTTGGCTGCCCAATTCATGTAATGGATGGTAGGAATTTATAGAAATATAGTGGTATTTATATCATGATTTGGCTACTAAGCACCAACATCGTATTTATGTTCATATCAAAATCCAACCCACGACTAAAAGGATAACATTCTTTTCACAACAAGATTTCAAATGATTGAATTATCAATTATACAAAAGCTTATGTAGCAACATGCATAACCCATTTGTTCATGAGTAGGCTACAGAATTTGTGAAATACTCAGATCATACACAATAATATAGCATGCTCTTCCCTTGCCACATGCACCAGCTCTGACATTCGTAACCCCATTAATCAGAACAATCCATATAAGCCTACACAAGTGAAATTATGAGCTTATTTTCGCATGTTTATTCTGGTACCATAGGATCAATATCTCGCCATTGTTTTGTCCGTCAAGGTTAGCTGAAGGCTTGCTGTAGAATGGTTGCAGCAGCGCTAGTGATACCTGTGAGTGAACATTTAGTCAACTTGTATAATGGTATTCCTGTGGCAAATTTTTTAGGTTGCTGTCTGCTGAAATTATCGGAAGGAGCAAGCATATCCACCACCATATATATATTGTATACTGAAGACAAAAAAAAAATCATTGCTGAAATGCATTCGAATACCTTGGCCAACCACCGTGTGAATGGCGGCCAATGAATAAATTGTGCGCTACCTAGCTAGCTAGGCCAGTATGTAGGCCACCAGAGAGTGAGAGAGTCGACACGTAGGTATGTTCATGCCGGGCTCCGCCTCCTCGTCCATGGCCAAGCAACTCGTCTAGCATGTCCGAGTCAAGCCACGGCGCCGCAGCATCCCTCCCTGTCCTCCGATCCAGCTTTAGCAGAGCCTACACACACGAGCAGCACTGAATTCAGATAGGTTTAAAAATCATGATCGAGTGATTTTTTTCACTGAAGAGTTTAGTTTTTTTTGGAATCTTCACTGTATATCTTACTAAAGAAATAGGATGATTACTTTCTACTAAGAAACACCATTTTTTCAACAGAAGTGTTGTTTAGACAAAAACTGCAACAAGGTTTACTATTGTTGTCAGTTTCAAGAATTAGATATATGGGTTCATATGGGCACACATGCTGATTAATGCATCATCTTGAAATCAAAATGAATTAAATAACAGGTCTATGTTTATTCCAGTTCCAGAGCTCCAGCTAAATATGGAAAATGCAGTAACCAATAAACATGAAAATTGTTATTTGACCTTGGCTAAACAAAATACCTTGTTTGTTTCTGCAGTAAGCTCGTAGTTCCAGAATTTACTGATTTAGTTGATTTAGTTATTCTCTAAAATAAATCCCTCTCAATAAAAGTACACAACTCCAACAGCATCTCTAAAATTGCTACCCTCCATATTCAAATGTGACACATCACCTGGTAGTTGCAGTGATAGTCCCAGTAGGAGTTCAGGCTTTCTACTGCTGCTACTACCCTCGTCAGAGGACAAATACATATGTTTTCAGATATTCAACTGCTCCTACCTGTATTCAGCCTTAATTTATCTGATTGTTCTATATGCAGTTCAGACATTCTATATGCTTCTTTCATTCTGAGGACACAACTGAGAGCAATTAAATATATATTCCTATAGATACGAGGGGAACGACGAATTGAGACATCCACAACTTTATGAAGTCCGAAATATGAGGACATAAAAAATTCATCCATTGAATACTCTATGTAGCAAAAATCATCCACTCACATGAGGACCAAAATATGCTGAACAATCATGTCAATCCTTGCTATGCTTCAGTACGGCAAACTGGCGGAACTCACCAGCTAAATCCTCTTTGACGTCGACATTGGCTGCGCTTGGGAAGAAGACCTGCAGCACCTGGTGGAACCACCCGACGACTCACCACGTGATTACCTGAACCAAATGCATACTCCGAAAGAATTAAGCAAGGCAAGTCGTGAAGTCGATTACCTTTGCTGTCTGGACACTGGCCGGCTGCCGGGCTACGGCCAGTGCTGGGGGCGAAGTCCGCCGGTGCCATCTTGGCCATCGAGGCGTGGGGTATGCCCGAGATGGGTGCTGCTACTACAGGGGAAGCCGTGGCGCTAGGCCGGCTTCACGTCACGGTGATGGTTGCGGCACCGTCCTGATGGTGTGCTCGGTGAGGATGGCAGCCTGGCATGCCCGCAGCCGGCGCGGCCAAGGCGGCGCGACGATGGGGTCGAGCAGGCGATGGCGGCGGCAGGGCCACGGAGGGGCCATAGGGGATGGATGGAGATATATCCGGACCGCCCACGACAACCGCATCCTCTCCACCGCACCGGCCGCCGTCCACAGCAAACGCGTCCTCTCCCTCCACTGTGCCGGCCGCCGGCAACAGCAACCATGTCCTCTCCCCCACCGCGCTCCGTCCCCGTCTCCCCGTCTCTCGCACGCGGGTCGACTTTTGAGGGCGAGGGCGAGCAGTTACGCCGCCTCCGAGGCGGCGGGGAGGGAAGCGTTCGGAGTTGTGGCGCAGATCGGGAGGGGATGGTGGGGATGGGAAACGGTTCGGGAGTTGCCGCGCGGATAGGATGCCGCCCGCATAAACCCAACCGCTGAGCGGGTACGAAAATTATCGGTGAAAAAAAACTGGCGCGGAGTTGACCGACACACAGAAAGTTGTTAAAGGATTCTCCATTGAGTTTTCGATCGGATCCGCTTGTCAGATCAGGCTAGGAAATTTAGATACGTTGGATTAGAGTTTAAAGTAGATCTAATGGATAAGAATTAAGATGAGTAGAAAATATTTGTGTGAGGATTTATTTATAATTCCTTCGCTTCTTTATACTATAGATATAGATATAGATATAGATATAGATATACTCAATCCATCCTAAATTGTAAGACATTTGACTTTTTTGACACCAAATTTGACCACTCGTCTTATTCAAAAATTTGTGTAAAATATCACTTCTTTCGTCGTGGTTTGATTTATTAATAAAAATTCTTCAAAAATAACTTAAATTTGACTATATTTGCACAAATTTTTTAAATAAGACGAGTGATCAAACTTAGGACAAAAAAAGTCAAACGTCTTACAATTTGGGATGGAGTAGTAGATATTATTGGAATGAAATATCTATTGCAAGTGACTCAGGATCTGTCCCAACTGACTAATATAGGGTGCAAGTGTTCGCTAGCTATGATTTATTCTGAGATTTGTCATGACCACTCAAAAATTGTTGAAATTTCTACTCTTTTGTTCCTTAACAAAAACAACCCATGTTTTTGTTTTTTTATTATTAAGGAGAGATTCCCCGTGCTTTTACGAAAGCAACAGAGTTGTTACAAATATTAGGATCGAACAACCCATGTTCTCATAATTTGTCTTACGGTCTTGCCCTTGCTAGGAAGATGGCATCAGCACCTTCCATGGAGCTGCAACCCATCCTGGCACGGTGCTTCCCAACAGTAGCCGTGGGCTTCATGGCCGTGTAAACAGCTGCCTACCTTGCCTTCTCTCAACCAGTGGCGGATGCACGATGCGGGATAAGAGAGGCTAAAACAATAGAGATGTTGATTTGCATGAAGATTTAATGGTGAAATTAAGCTTTTGCTATAGTGATTAAGCTTGAAATCAAGATATTAGGGGGGGCTGGAGCCCCCCTAGCCCCCCCTATCCGCCACTGCTCTCAACATTTCTTCATTACTGAATATAGAGATCAATTGTCTTCCCTAAATAATGCAGGCCGCAAGGTGCCTCAATACATTCCCATGCTCCAGTGCTACTGTTAGCCAGTCAACAAATGGAATGCCATCAAGTATCATCAATTACAAGCAGCCTGTTCGGCAGCTCGTATCTGGCTTATAAGCCTTGGTTTATCAGTCAAGGAACAGTATTTTTCTCTCACGCTAAACCAACCAGCAGTACTTTCGGCCTCGTTCGCTTCGCTGAAAAAGCAAGCCGAAACACTGTTCCGACTGATTTGTTGTGAAAGAAAATAACTGTTCCGGATGAAAAAACAAGCTGAAAAGACAGATTATAAGAGAAGCGAACAAAGCCTTCAGTCATGGCTTATAAGCCAATCCAGCTGAAATGAACTAGCTGAAGAAGTCAGCATTTGTGGATTCTGTTGGAGTGAAGCGAACTTGTTGATCTCATGCATCCAGGAAACTTGAACATTCTCAGGTAATTTACTGGAAGAGCGGACAAACATATTTGCAGTGTATATGTATGTACATCTTGTAAATTTTTTTCTTATATAAGCTTGGGATAAATGATCCTACTATGTCACTGATTGTCTACTTCTTTTGTTGTCAAAGTTGCTCTCCTTCTAGCTTTGCAATTTAGGCTTGGCATAAAGGAAAATCTTGTACGATCATCAACATCTTAGGATTGGGTAGTGCTAGGCTGCTAGCTTGATCATATCTGACATGATACAATGGGCAGGGAATAAATCGTATATTGGCATGTTGATGGCACCTAATAAGAATTAGAAAAGGCCCACAAGCAAGGCATAGATATCTGACTTGATACAACAGGTTCACATTTTTAGCTTGAAAAACTATTATACTCGACATCTGTGGTGTTGCAATTGCGATTGACGTTGGATCTGTGGGGCTTTATCTCTACAAGTTCAAATTAGTGTTCTGGGGAGGTACTTTCTGTTTGCATTTGGATTGTCTGTTTTTAAGTTTGTGTACCTGTTGTCACTTGTGGAGTTTGATACTGTTATCCTCTTTTTATGTGCTAAGAAGGAAAAGGCTAACCAATCTGCCGACGGTCCACATTTAGCTGACTAGAATTTCATGCTAAAGACTGATAAGATTGTCTCCATGTTTTATGAGCTGGGATGGGATATGCTAAAAGTAATGAGAGCTGTCGTTACAGGGCTAAGGGAGGTAAGTATCTGCTCAAGGAATTGCTGGACCTAGAAATAAGTCGACTAGTGATTCTCAGAGCAATTGTCGCTAGACTCAAGAAGATGGAGGAGTCCGCCGGCAAGATAGAGGAGGCATTGGAACCCAAGTTGGAGGAGGTGCCTCCGATCGAGAAGCAGCACTGAGCCTGAAACGTTATTGCAGAATCTTCAGAGACTTTGCAGAAGGAAGGCATAGATGTAGAATTGTCATTTGGTCTGTACTGGATGTGATCGCTGGATGTGTTGGGAACGATGTTCAGCTGTCGTTTTGGGTGTACCGATGTGATTGCTGTACTTAATGCTCAATCATGTTTTCCACAACCAGAATTAACTAATTGTACGCTCTAATAGTTTTGTATGGTATTTGCGCTTATAGAGTTTATATATACTCTACTGAGTTAGCTTGGTTTGGGGACTCGCTATACGATTATGTACATTATGCTTCATTGTTACGATTCTCTTTACAAACAAGGGTTTCATTTTCTTAGTATGTTATTCAGGCTTGTACCGAATGAGACTCAAATTAGGAGGGCTTCAGTTGTGCTCATTTGACAGTCCGCACTTTGAGTAATAACAATTGACCAAGTAATAACAATTGACCAAATGTTGGCTTTAGTTTCCAAGTAATGGACGCTATTGTATTTGCATTCAGTCTGTTAATTTAAGCACATTTCTAAAAATAAATGTCTCAAAGTTAATCTAAGTGGTCATGAAAATGAACTGATACTTCAACAAAAGATCATGCAACTTGCAAACAGGAAACAACAGTGATGAACAGTGTTCGCTGAAGTACATTAAACAGTGTTTGCTGCAGCAGATGGGATGCAGAGACTCGATGTAACACCTTCGATGTTACGTCCTAAATTATTTACTAAAACATGTCATGAGCATCATGTTTATTTGTTAATGCATGTGATACAATGTGTAGATAAATTTCTTGTAACTTAAAATGATCAATAAAATGTTAAATGAAAGTTGATTCAATAGCTCATGTATATCAAGTAGGGTTAAAAACTAATTTTTGTTAAGCAAAAATACTATAGAACATGTGTGTGATACTTAAATAAAGTTTGAAGTACAAACTTTGTAGATGACAGTAAAATACTGCTGTTGAAAATGATATTACTAATTAATATTTCTACTAGCCTAGAAATTACAAATTCAAAATCAAGTTCAGCTCAAAAACTTAGAAAATTTCCAAGTTTTTTAATAGCCAGACATTGGCCCCGTTCGCTGGTCTGAAATTTGGCTGAAACTGGCTGGTTTTGTGAGAGAGAAACACTGTAGCGGCTGGTTGATGAATAGTGTTCTGTGAGGATGTTCAGCCGGCTGGTAAAACAAGCGAACACGCCCATTGCTATGTTTAGCAAATTATTTCGAGAGATTGGGTTAACGGGTGGTGTAGTGTTATAGCTCGAATTGATAGTCTTATATGCCATCTTGAGTATAGAGAAGATGGTTAAGGTCTAGAAGCAGCCGTTTAGTTTTTATAGGCGCTTTAAAATTCGTGCACGACACGGTTTTGGGTTGGTTGGCCGCGTGGGCGCGGTCACCACGCTCGGGCGTTTGGCGTCACCACGCTGGCTGTCCCACGTGCACGCGCGTTGTCGCGCGTGGCCGGCCACGGCTGCTCTGGCCTAGCTGTGGCCTGGCTGCCGCTGGCTCCTGGCATGCAGAGTCGCTACCGCAGCTTGCGCAGCCAGGCGGTGCTGCCGTCGACCCCCGCGCTGTCGCACTGCCGATCCGCCTCGCGCCGCGCCGCTGCCGCTACCGGTGCCGTCGCCTCGCCGTCATGTTCGTGCCTCCCTCTGCATCTCTGAGCCGCTGCCGGCCCAGTGTGATGCTGCATCTGCCCTGCGCACGTGTCCGGGATCGCAGTCGCCTTGTCATTGATGGCACTGCGGCGTGTGGGCCACACCGGTCACGAACATGCGCGCCTGTCTGCTAGCGCCTGCGCGTGGGCCTCCATGATCACGCCGACCGCGTCCCGCCAAGGCGGGGACGAGCCGAGCCCATCTGCCGTTCCCCGTCTCTCTTTCTCTCTTTCTCCCTCTGTTGCCACCGTGGAGCCGCGCCATCAAATTACCCAGCGAACGATCACCTCCATTCAATTCAGTGCATCCACGGTTTCAACATCATGTCCTCTCGCTGCCTGACCCTATCCAGCCTTGAACCGTACAAGGCCAAGCTCCAATTTGGAGTTTTTCCCGCCGTCGTGCCATTAAGGCCGCGCTCGGCCATTGTCGAGGGCAGCCCTCCTATTGTCCCTCCCGAGCCAATTCGCTTGGACCACTAGCTTTACCTTGTCTCCCTCTCCACCTTGCGCATGCAAGTGGAACCGCTACCGCCTCCCCGTCATCGCTGACGCGACCGTGCCGCCGCGGTGCATCGCCGCACGGCTCACCCGCACGTGGCCAGCCCTCCACCGTCATCCTCCGTCCCAACCGTCACCTCGACCTGATCTATGGTAGCCTCCTAATGCTCATGCGCTAACCAATTATGCCTGTAGCTACCCCAGCTCACCGGAACAGTGGCGCCGCCATCGTGGATGGCCGCGCGCCGCTGCAGCCTTCCATAGCAAGTCGTGTCACCCCGCACCGCCGCCTAGCATAGCCGCTCGGGTCGGAGATGGTGACCGACCCGTTAGGTGGTCTATCGCAGGTCCCAGGTGGCCGGCGCAACCACGCTGTGTTATCGACCGCCGCGCCGCCATGCACTGGGTCACCGGGGGTGTGCGCGGGGGAATTCTAGAAAAGCTAGGGGGTTAAGTAAAAATGTTTGAGAGAGGGGAAAATAGTATTAGTACTTAGTTGTAATTTGAGAGAAGTTCGAGGTCTCTTTTGCAAGAACGCCAGTGCACGCTGGCTTTCCCCGGCATGGGTTGTCTTCGCATGGGCCGGCCTCGCGTGGGCCGCACCGTGGGCCACCGCGTGCTCGCGCACGCTGCATCGCGTGGGCCGCACGGGAGAATTCGTTTTTCTTTTTCATAAGGGATTAGAAATAGTTTTCTAATTTAATTTTTAAGCTGATCTTTGGCAATTAATATAAAATCGTGTAGGTGTCCAAAAATTATGAAACAAATTTTGTTAGGTTCTTGAAATTATGATCTATCTGTTAGTTTATTTAGTTCATATATATACATGTTGATACCAGGAGCTATTAAATCGTTTGAGAATGCTTCATATTATTAAATTAATTATTGTAGGAATTTTTGTGGTAAAATTTGGTGATAACTTTAGTCCTGAAATTTTTATAGTAGCTTTATTGTATTATTATGTGCTCACTGTAATTTTTATAGTCTTGGAATAGACTCAGCACTAGTGTAGTTAAATGCTCTTTGTTTCAAATATACATTAAATCACTAGAAGAAATAAAGATATATCCTTAATTTGCCGAGCTAAGGGTTTGTTAGTTGAATTCAATACCTTGCTTGATGAAGATGATAATGAGCTTAGTGTCTTAGTCATTAGAGCTAGCTTAGTAGCTTAATATGTGTATTCTTAGTTTAAAAGTTGATGTTGCCTAAATGTTAAGTGTTGCATCATCATCGCATGCATGTAGAGAACGAGTTGGCGGAGATCGTGACCACCGGCGATCACAAGTTCGAGGAGATCATTGAGGAGTACGAGGAGGAGATTCTCGTGTAGGAGGAGGTACTAGAGCCACCACTGACTGACTCAGCTGATACCGCACCTGTCAAGACAAGCCCCGGTACATAATCCTTATTTTTTATAATCACTGAATATATATATGTGATGTGCATTTACGTTACAGGAATCTTATGAAAACACCTACATAGATATACCTGACCTATGAGTCCTACTAGTACAGGTTCGAGTAGCTGCTATGCTTAGGTTTTCGGTAGTGTGAGTAACCTGCCATTACTTACAATAGGTGATTATTATTACTCACATAATAAAATGATGAAAGGAAAAATAGAGACAGGGCAGAGATATGGTATGGGTATTGGTGGGTGTAACAGGTTGTGTTCTGCGACCAACAGGGTTTAGCTTGGTTACACTATTTTTCCTATTCGTGTCGATTAAGGACCGTCCGTTGCTGTGGATGGTAGTCAGGTCACCGACTTATTATCCTGAGCAGATATTTGCTTATGGAAGCAGGAAGGCTCGTTATGCTCTTGTCGTGTGTTTCGTCTCTTTCCGGACCGACTGATTGGAGGCGGGAAAAGGTAGAGATCTAAGCACCATGCTGAGACTAGGTCTCAAGTGTGGGGGCTTGGAGTCCAAGTTTGGACGGGGACATGGACCCATCGACAGGAGTGGAATGGGTTGGTCTTGTTTGTGCCTGGGGTACAAACAGGGCATGTGTTTTGGGGTACCCAGCTGGGATACATTGATTCATGGATCGCCGTTTTTGTGAGACGGTACGACTTGGCTATGGCTAGCACCGTAGTAAGAATTGGAAGATGAAAGATGATGAAATGGTTCTGATTGCTCAACCCTTGCTTGAAAGTAGAACATGTGTTTACCTAGAATGGTTAGCTAATGAAGTAATCATGACTGCTAATAAAACTTGACTGTAAGGATGAACTATTAGTAATGCTTTTCGTAAATAAAAAGAAAACAGCAAACCCATATTGCCTACCATACTCCTTAGAGTCGGGAAACTATTCTTACTAGTCGTGTAAGTCTTGCGAGTACATTGTGTACTCAGGGTTTATTTTATCCCTGTTGTAGGTGCAGCTTGAAGAGTAGCTCTTGTGTGGAGGATTCTTCTGGTGGGCACAGACGGATCCTTGTATCGTTTTCGCTAGATGTTTATTTTCATTTTGTTGTTTAATGATCGCACTTTGAACTCTGGTATTATAATAAATAATTTCCAAGAACTCTTGTTGTATGAAATGGACTAAGTATTGTAAGCCCATACTCATTATTGAATTCTGGATGTAAAACATGGATTGTTTTGAGTTCTCCCTTGGGGTATGCTCGACGAAACTGTCCGATATAGCTCACTTTCGAGGTGCTTAGTGTCTAGTGGAAGACGAGCGCCTTCGAAAACGTGTTATTTCGGGTGGTTCTGCCACACACAAGAAGCTAGAGGAGCCTGTCGACAATACAAAGAAGCTAGGGGAGTCTGTCGATAGTACAGAGGAGGCATTGGCCCGTCGATGTGAAGAGTAAGTGTCTTCAGTGCTACGAATAAGGGAGACTGAATTGGATTATAGTATTGAGGCCTAGGAGTTATATATATATATATATATATATATATATATATATAGAGAGAGAGAGAGAGAGAGAGATTGAGAGAGTTCATGAGAGACATGAGAGGCAAACACTAGACTAGGAGATTACACTAATGCCCCTGACTATATACTTAACAGCCCTCTTAAATGCAATGTCGTTGCATTTGAAATTCTTATAGTCCAATTTATCCCTAAACTAACATTTTACTAAGATTTACCTCCTCGCAGCTAACGTAGTGCCATATAGGATAGCTAATGTGTCTTCATGTCTTAAAACAATCATCAAAACCACCCAGAGTGCAAAAAAATGTTTTTCAAAGTTGTGGGCGTCAAAAAGTGGTTTTATAGACTGGGGTAAATTAGACAACCTCGAAAGTTGAGGGGTCTAAAGGATTTTTTTATATGGGTTTATGAAAGCTACACTTTTTTTAAGTAAAGGGTTGGATTTTTATTAAAACAGAACTTTACAAAAAAAAACCCTTGACTAGGCACCCCTGAATTAAAAAAATACAGATAGATCCTTCACAGGAGCATCCAGCGCCCATCCCCGATGCCGACCATCGTTGCCGCAGCCTGGATTTTCTCCACCTCCCATAGTAAAGATCATCTAGGACGAAGCTCACGGTCGACACCTGAATCGACGAAGAGTCTTCGAATTTTAACAAGGCCATCAATAGCACACCAAATACGTGTTGTTTATCCATTGAACGCCCGGCCAATCCTTGTTTCCATCGGGACCAGACGTTGATCGCCTCACCGACCAACCCCAGTCGACAACCAGCAAACCCGCAGGGGGTATTACAAACCTCTAGCTTCCAGTAGTAGCCATGTCGGTGATTTGAAGTCCGGCGACGCAATTGACATTGTGGGCATAACCAGTGAAGAGAAAGCTCACAGAAGATTCGAGAACCGACGTATGAGAAAACACCGAGGAACACATTGTCGATGCTGACCCCCCCGCATGAAGCACCGTCGTCGAGCACCACATGCCAATTAACCATCCCCACACACCATCCACCACCGACGGAGACGCCACCAGAAAATCCATGGAGGGAGCAAAAGATTCCCGATGGATTCGTCACCGGGAATACACCCAACCCTAACTCACACAGGGGATAGATAACATACCGCATCTTCTCTGCGGTAGGGGAGCCGCCGGAAGACACTACCACTGACGACGTCGCAGCCACATCTAAAGATGAGCACGGAGCACGCATCCACATCGATGAGACCACCGATGGGGAGAAAACTAACCCTAACCTACTGAAACTTAAGCTAATATAGGAGAGAGAATGTAAACCGGTCGTCGATCTCGCGACTCCTCTCCACCTCCAGCACCAGAGCGGCCACCGGAGGCGAGAAGGAGACGAGGAGATCGACGCCGGGAAGCGAATCGCCCTGCCCTGGTGAACTGTAGTTTTTTTTTAGGAAACGGTGAACTGTAGCTGGGTTCAGTTGCATCGCAGCGTATGCGTATGGGCTCTCTTGGCCCATATGCACCAGCGAATTCGGCCGGCTAAAGCCCAAAAGACAGAGCAGCGTCGACAGTTACTGCCCGTCCTCGACTCGACTTCCTCTTTTTTTCCCTTTCCCCTCTCGCCTCTGCTGCCCTCGCCGAGGCAAGCAACCAATCCACCCAATCCCCAGCGCGGCGACGGCAGCCGCCTCTGCCGCCTGCGATGGCCGCCCGGCGCGGGCCCCACGTCATCAAGCTTCACGATCCCAATCCGCCCCTCCTCGGCCGGGCGCCAGGCCCCGCGGTGGCCGCCGTCCCCGCGCCCTCGCGAGACGAGGGCATCCTCGCGCATCACCCGCGCGCCGCCCCTTCGAGCGCCTCCGCCGCGCACCCCGCCTTTGCACTCATCGAGGAGCGCCTCGTTGCCCGGGACCAGGACATCCAAGAGCTCCTCGTCGATAACCAGCGGTTCGCCGCCACCCACGTCGCGCTCCAGCAGCAGCTCATCGCGGCGCAGCACGAGCTCCGAGCTGTCTCCGTCGCCGCCACCAGGGCGCGCGCCGAGCGGGAGGGCGAGGTGCGCGCCCTCGCCGACCAGGCGGCGCACATCGAGGCCGAGGCGCGGGCCGTCGCCGCCGCGCGCGCGGAGGTCGACCAGGTCCACGCCGACGTCCAGGTGCTCGCCGCGGTGCGCACCGACCTCGTCAACCGGCTCCAGGGCCTACGGGAGAAGCTCGCGCACAAGAAGGCTGAGGCGAGTAAGACTGATTCCGTCCGTGCCCAGATTGAAACCATGCGCCGGGAGATCCAGAAGGGCAGGTATTGCTGTTGCTTCATTTAATCACTTACGTTTAATGTCCACTGCTAACATGCGATTTCATGATTTTTCTACCTTAGGAGCTCTCCCCGCTTGTATTGACATATAGATTATTTAAAACAGTCATGCGCTTTGATGGTTAGCTTGTGAAGTTTGTAAATATACAAGAGGGCATGCCACACCTTGTGTAGGATGATTAGGATAATCTGTTGCACAGCTGCTCCTCAAACCTGGTAACAAATCTGCTTCAGCGAGCTGTTGCATGTAAAAGAGGACTAAGCATTTGTTGCTCCTTAAGCTAGCTGCTTTGTCCAAGGAAGCCTTTACACTGTCACCATGCCAATTTCACAGGTTATGCTTACAACAGGCTGGCAATGCCTTGCGAGGTGACTTTGAAGGGTAGCCTTTTAGATGCCATTGTATTGGTTAACCTTGTTTCCTGAAGCCTTTTTATGTGTGTATGAGTTGACAGTCTGTTAGTGTTTCCGTGATTACATTTTCTGACTTCTGAGCTAATGCATTTTGGATAGAATGATACGTCAAGTAGATTTGCAGAAGTAGCATCCCGTTACACACTGTTAATAACTAATAACATGTGCATAGGGATCTAATCAGAGTAATCTGATTCTGTTACGAGTTGTGATTTAAGCTTTGGACTGGTTATTGAGATTGAGATGCATAGTAGATAATTAATTTTTTGTGCTATTCACATCTACTAAGGATGTATCACATTTTGGGTGAATAGAACATGATTCTTCTCTTTGTTGGGGAAAAAAATGTGAGGTCTACATGCAGGACATATCCACCACACATTTTATGCTTCAATGTTTCCAGAGGCGATAAGGAGTGTAGCTTGTTTTGGCCAAGTATTGAACCTAATAGCCCTGTAGTATTAAAATATGTGGGGAAATGTCAAATCTGTTAGGTTTTGCATTTACTCCTTGAACATTTTTGCCAGACATGCTAGCTCATAGTTGGCATAAACCTGATTTAGATCTAAATATATATATCATACCTGCATCTGGCAAAAAACTAATTGGTTGGAGCCAAATTATTTATACACGTACAAAATGTTTGGGCTCCAGACTGTGCACAATAAGCAAAATTCAACTAAGAATGAAGCATGCTGTGGCTGCATGTTATGAAAACAGCTTATCAGCTCATTTGTACCAGTCCATTGATCTGCCACTGCATCCACTAATCCACCTGAACCACTCTAGTCCTTCTGCTCAAAAATATTTTTCACTGAAATGCACCGGGCGTCCTTTTCCTAGATTCTCAACTAGTCCCGCAACAAACTCTCAAACCGAGGATCTGTTCCCTTAAACCTTTTTAAGTAGTTCGCTCCAAATGATAATCCATGTCCATATTCAATAGAGTGGATATGTTGTTTTGTCCCTGACGTCTTTCCATAATATGACAGAGCTGCGGTTGATTTCGAAAAGAAGGCACACTCTGATAACCTCGAACAAAGTAAAGCAATGGAGAAAAATATGATTGCTGTGGCTAGTGAGATTGAGAGGCTTCGAGGAGAGCTTGCAAATGCTGAAAAAGGGGTCACCGCTGTCAACCCAGCAGCAGCTGTTGGTAACTCTGGTACCATACTGAATCTGCTGAGTATACTGTCACTTTCCTTTAAGTAGAATTTATTTATTTTGGGAGAATGGGCTTAGGCAGTTAGGATAATGACCATCATTCATTGCAGGCTGTTAAGCACAAAACCAATTGCTTTCGGCAGCTTAGATCATCTTTGTGGTTGCAACTAGTTTTGTGAAATATGTACAAATTCCAATGAGTTTTTCCTGTTGTTTATAGCTCCAAACAAGCTTTTGGATAATTTTAATATCCTGAAGTACTTGTACAAACTTGTAAGTGTATTTGAAATCCCGACATGATACTAAATATAGAGCCATTTGTCCCTTGAGCTTACTAGGTTATCTAAAATGCTTGGGATCAATGGTGAAGAAGGGCAGGCGGACTAGGTTCACGTAGGAATCAAAGAAACCGTTTGGTAATAGTAGCACTAGGCTACTATCTTTACATGAGAGGTGTTTGCTTGGGTGGGCCTTGGGTTCTGTTCAGAAGATAATCCCTACATCCTCCAGCTTCTTTAAATAGGGCAGCTTTAGCATATTAAGAAACCAGGTGAAGAAGCCATCCATTTAGCTCCCACCTTCTCTTAGCCTGGATTATTTAGTTGAAGCTAGGTCTAACTTCAATTGCATTAACTTTCTTGTGTATTGTTCTGAATTACTATTCTTTTTTTATTTTTGTGTAATTCTATCTCAGGGTATGCTGTGGCTTATGGCAATTCTGAGGCAACATATACTGGAATGTATGGCAATCCTGATGCAATATATACTGCACAGGCTTATCCTGGTGCTTATAGCACTAATCAGGTTTGTTTAGTTGCTTTATGATTGTTCTCTTATTCGCTTTTAATTTAACTACAACAATTGTTCTTGGATGCATCTAAAAGTTGTAGTCTATTGAATCATGAAAATAAAAAAAATATGATTCCAGAATTAATTTCTTATTTCTGTTGTCTGAACCTCAGTTGAGGTTTTTGTTTGATTAATGATCAACCCTTCATATCTTCTTTCTTCTCTTCTATGTTGTTTCCCATTCTGAAAAATTTGCCTTTAGTAGTTCTGGATTTCCCTTTTTGTCTGTAAGAAGTTTAGTAGAATGACATGATGCCGCTCTTTAATACGTTCCCCAGTTAAATAACCTCCTTTCTGTGAGATATAACTTGTGTAGTATGTAGAATGCTATGTAGGCTCATAAGTATGGGAACCACGTGCGTGGCTGCAGCAGAAACAAAACTCATATCCTGTTGGGCCCTGTTCGCTCGAACTTATCAGCCGTACCGTTTCAGTGAAATAACGGTGTTTTTCTCTCACAACAAATCAGCATCAGCACCAGCCGATTGCTTCTACTGTTAGCATCACGTTAGCTGTGATAATCTCATCCAGTGTCAGTTTAGATATTTTTTGGTCTGGTTAGCTGAACATCCCTTCTTCCTAAACTTAGCTACCATTGTGTTTCAGATAATGGAACAACCGAGCTTTTGACATTAATATAATTTTTTGCCAAAAAGAGTCATAGATTTTTATTTACTATTTTTAATTGCCTTTTCCAAATCATATTTAAAAAAAAGTATACTGCACAACGCAACAAGCCGCTCAGCCTGAATCTGATGTTGACATCTTTGTGTTCTAAATTACAGGCTCATATGCACACCGGCGCCAATTCTCATTACATGAGTCAACCTGTTTCCTATGGACAATACGAGAGTCAGCACACCAATGTTCAAAGATGACTGCCAGCACAAGATACCTTTGACTTGCCTGCCATCTCATTGTAAAAGGATAGTCGCAGAATCCACCAAATTAAGCATGTTAGAGAAATCCATTGCATTGAAGTGCTGGAAATCCTCATGTTAATGTTTTTTCTTTGCTGGCTAATTTGTTCCAGAATGTATGGGTCGAATTTTGGAGCAAAAATCTTTCTCGCTTCTCCATGTACATCCTGATGATTCGTCAGTTAGTTCTTCAAATTGGTGGTGTTATTATTAGGGGCGATGATGCCTCTAGCCATTTGTGTACATATAAATGAATAGCGACCATTGTTTTTGAGGCGCCGCGCCCGACCCCCTTCACAACGCCTAGGCGTTTGTGGCGGATGCCCAGGCGATGCCATATACACATTGTAAGGCGTTATAAGACGTTGTAAGCTAGAATTTTATATACCTAAAATTTTATATACTAGTGCAGTATATACATATCTCGTTTGTTGCCAATTCTTGAGCTCATGTTCCTTTCTTTCCTTTCCAAAAGCTCTTCTCCCACGTAGCATCTATCCCCCTTGAAGGAAACGGTATGACAATTACAGAATTCAGCAATCAAACAGGTTATGCTGAGAATTAAATAGGAAATAATACTAAAAAGGCAAGATAACAAATTAGCAAGCATTAGTGCATGCATGAGCATGACAAATGACATCATAGTCTGTCTCAAATAGTCCATAAACTTATAATGAAGTACTGAACTCTAAAGCATACTAATTAAGTCAACTACACCAAAGCCATACAATAGGGCAGGACAACACAAAAGTACAGCAAGGGTGCAGGACACAAAAGAATGCATCAGCAGGAGTGCAAATATAACACATCTGGTGTTACGAGCTCACTTAGCACCTAGATTAAGGCCTAAGAGAAGGCAAGTTTCTTGGGTGTTAGAGTTAAAACTCGTATAAAGGTGCTAACGAAAATCCCGACAAGGAAATAGACGGTAGTTTTAATCATTTGACACGAAAAAAATATTTTTTGTAAACAATATAAAATATAACTTGTATTTAGTACTTAAATAGAAATTTGAAGTGCAAGTTAGTAGCTAAGAATGCAACTTTTGTTTTAGTGAGTGGAAGTTGTTTAATAGTAAATCTTATAACTTGGGAATGAAACCTGAAATTTAGAACGAGAGCTCGTCGGGAATCGGTAAGAACTTGAGTTTATGTTAAAAGTATCGTTCTTTGGCGGATTGTACTGAACAAACGGGTTAAATAATTTCTAGATGTTTATTTCTATGAGTTAGCACGAAGTATGTGCTAGGTCATGACATGTTGTTTAGTTGAGATTGACGAGGCTTAGATCGTTTAAAAATTCAACCAAAAGTGCTAGAGAGTGTTAGTTCTAACTGGAGCCTTGAATTCCTTTTAAGTCTGAAAATGTTAGACAATGCCATTTTGGCATTTGATTTCCAACAAAAATGGTTAAGCACTACATCCATGTTTTTGCACCATTGGTTGCTTCTAACTTAACACTTGGGCAAGGTGTAGGTCGTAGTTGAGTTGGATGTCAACTTAAACTCTTAAAATTGCCCAAACTTCGATCAGAACGCACTAGAACCTTATCACCGGTGCTCTGCTCGTAAACCAGTGCTCAAGCGACATGATCATCTTGGCATCCTCCTCTCTCCCTCTCTAGTCACTCTTTAGTCTCGACGATTGCTTCGCGGGATAGCATGTGGTGTGGACTTTAGGTTCGTGTAGTTGGTTGAGCCTTAGTCGAGCTTTTAAGTGGTGTTGGTATGCTTTAAATAGCGTGCACGGCACCGTTTTCTGACTTTCGGCTTGTGTTCGCGATCACCGTGCCCACGTGCTTTGCTGGCGCCGGGCTCGGCCCATGGCCGGCCGTGGCCTCTCCCTACGGGCCAGCGCGCGTGCTGCTGTCGCGTGCCGGCCAAAGCCATGGCGTGTCTCCTGCCTCTCCTTGTCACGTCGTGTCGTTGTGCCACGCGCAAGGTTGGGCCAGTGTCGTGGCGGCCACCGCCTAGTCGACGTGGCCTTTCTTCCACCGCTTAAACCACCTACTCGCCGAGCCACTGCCTGCCCCCATTGGCACGTCGAGTTAATGCTCTAATCGTGGTGCCACTGCACTTCTCGCGTGTCGTTTGTGCATCGGCCCCGTGCGACCAATGTGACGCTACTGATCGCGCGCGTTCACAGCCACTCATCTCACCTACCTTGCCCGGTACGACTCGCGCGTTGTTGAGGAAAGGACCGAGCTCGATGGTGCCATAGCCGCTGCCTATGCCGCCCTGCCCCTGTGTCTGGCTTCTGGACGAGGTGTGCCGCACACGGCTCCTAGCTTGCTCTCTTGCCCCTCTATCCAGCCCCCTCTCCCTCCCTTTCTCTCTCACGCGTCCACCATGGATGTCGGCTCATGCGTGCTGCAGCTGTCCGCCTGGCCGCGTGCTGCCACTATCCGCCTGGCCGTGTGCTGTCGCTGTCCGCCTGGCCGTACGCTACCCTGTGCGAGCTCCCGAGCGCCTCCTCTGCCGACCGCGTCGCTGCCAAAAGCCATCGTCTGCTTCCGTAGCCAGTAGGCCAACCTGGCCCGCCTCGGGACGAGCCGAGCAGCCCCTCGGGTGCGGCCAAGCACCTCGCTGCTCTCGCGACCTTCTTCGCCGCCACCGGCCATCCTCCCCGGCCGGGTTCCGGCACGCCGCCTCCCCTACCGCGGTCGCGCGTGGCCGCCGTGCTGTGTCCCGCCTTGGTCCACGCCACGGCCAGGCCCGGGCTCGATCGTGGCCCGCGCACCTCCCTGGCCGTCTAGTCACCGCCAGTGGGCTCCCAGCCGATCGAACCGGCCGTCAGGCGGTCCCCTGCCCCTACTCTACTCGTGAGGAAGAGGAGTAGACCTCGGGGTGAGAATAGAAACTTTTCTAGAGTTCTCAATGCAAAACCGTGACTCATAAAAATAGTGATGCATACTGTGGGTTGAATAGAGAGAAGCTCAGGGGTCTCTTCGCAAAAGAGCGGGTGCCTCCCTGGTTGGGCCGCGTGTGGGCCGACCGCTTTCGGTTGGGCTGGGCTGCCTTGCCCGCTGGACCAGGCCGAGCTGGGCCGCTTCGAGCCTAAGGACCCTTTTTTCTTTTTCGATGTTTTGTTAATTTCAGTAATCGGCTGGATGCTTGGAAATTCATAGTAAATAGTAGAAAAAATTATAAAAAGGAAAATAAATATGTTTTGGAATCCTTGTGACTAGCTCTATGCAGTAGACATATAATGTCATATGCTTTAGTGTAAAGTTTTTGGTTGTTTGTGTAGTCTGGTCTTTATGTTTATTTGTTAGAGGATGTTCTAGTAATCCAAATGCAGTGAATTTTTTTGGTAGACTAGTGTTGGCGTGGGTGTGCTTTGGTAAAAATTTCATGCACAGTTGATACATAGTTTTTGAGTTATTGATTTATCTCGTAATATGCTTGTTTAATGGTTTTTTAAAATTATTAAAAGTAGACAAAAATAGAAAATGTGGTTCCATCATGTACTTTTACAATTATTGTGTTCCATTAACCCATAATATGGCTCTAGTGCTTAATAAAATGTTATTATATAAGTTTCATGATGCCATATGCTTTATTGATTATTAACTCCACGTTGTATGTGATTAAGCTTTTATATATACTAGATGTTTAGAATAACGTTAATAAATGCTTTATATGCTACTTGTTTTCCATGCTTAACTAAGTAAAGTGTTGCTCATCTTTGTTTGGTAATAATTGCATGCTTAGCATGTTGTTTGTTGTTTAATGTTTGTAAATGTCTTGTTATGCTTGTTTGACTTGAGAATGCATTGCATGTTGCATATCATTTAGGAACGATAATGGATCGATGGGATCAATTGGGGTAGCTGAAAAGATGGTGCTAGGGATCAGGTCACAAAGATGGAATACTAACTTTTGGTTATATGTTACCCAGACAAGCTCTGGTGTATAACCCCTACTTTTCTGCACTTTATATTATGTTTGTGCATTAAGTTTTAAGGAGTTGAATGAAACCCACTTGCATATATATATATATGAGTCTTACTAGTATGACAGGATCATGTAGATTGCTATGCTACAGGACTCTCGTAGAAGCAGAGTGATTGCCTATCACTCGCGAGAGATAGGAAATGTATTATTGTTGTTACTATATTATTGTCACCTGGAATATATATATGAATGATAATTGGAGATCGGGTGAAATGGTACTTTGGATTTGGACTTGGTTTGACATTCGAGCGAGGCTCGAGTTGCATTTGTTCTGCCTATGTCGATTAAGGACCGGCACTGGCATTGAATTATAGGCAGGTCACAGACTTATTATCCTGAGCATATACTTGTTTATGGTAATAGAGAAGGCCCATTGCTCTCTTGTCGTGGGTTTTGGCTCTTTCTGGACCGACTGATTGGAGGCGGGGATGGTGGAGGTCTAAGCACCACACTGAGTCCGGAACTCCGGTGTGGGGGTTTGGAGTCCAAGTTTGGACTGAGATCTAGACCCCTTGACAGGAGAGTGGTGGGTTGGTCTTGCTTGTGCCTAGGTAAAAGCTCTAGTTTGGTTTTGGTAAATTGATGAAACCCTAAAGTGCTAACCTAGTTTATTAAAAGTGATTATGAGATAGGTAGCACTAGTCCAAGTGGTGGAGCAAATGAAGATCATGGCATGATGATGGTGATGCCATGGTAATGATCAAGTGCTTGGACTTGAAAAGAAGAAAGAAAAATAAAAGGCTCAAGACAAAGGTATAAATGGTAGGAGCTATTTTGTTTCGGTGATCAAGTCACTTAGTGAGTGTGATCACATTTAGGTTCAATAGTTGTACTATTAAGAGGGGTGAAACTCGTATCGAAATGTGGTTATTAAAGTGCCACTAGATGCTCTAATTCATTGCATATGCATTTAGGATCTAGTGGAGTGCTAACACCCTTGAAAATATTTGTGAAAATATGCTGACACTATGCACAAGGTGATACACTTGGTGGTTGGCACATT